ATTATTCAGTTTATTTAATGTGCAAAAGTATGAAAAAAGAAACAAATATCATATTCATGCATTAAATTGTTGAAAAATATGGAGATAACGAAAAGTATTCAAGATCAAAAGTCTATAAAACAATTAGTACAAATATAGGAGGAGAGCAAACACAGACCTCTAAAATATCAGAAGTGGGATCAGGTGCCACGAAGGAATGATCATCCCCTGCCAAAATCAATTTGCTTCATTATAAAGTCTTCTGTTGAAGAACAGTAAGGTCATAATTAGTAATATTGATATGGAAGCATCTTAAAGTGATGAAAATTTAAACTTCCCAATCTTTGGGTTAACTTTTCAAACCTAAACCGATTTCTACTTTTCCTAACAAACGTGCTTAGGTTAGCAATGTGGCCTACGTGACTCATGTCTTCTCCAGTACACTATCTGATTAAGACAAAGATGTTTGATTTATGAAAATCTGCATCTAGGAATTTCTAAATATTAAACTTTACAATTAACGAATGCAGATATGAAAAATGCACTAATACATAAACAAGAGGCCCATGGGCCTTATACGTCACCTGAGCATTATGCAAAAACTTTCCAGTGATTGAATATTTATGATTCATGTTTTAAGCCAGATGCTATGGCATTCACAATTTTGAAAGAGGCACCATTGATCATCATAACTATACACTTAGCAGTTGCTTACTTTGGTTACTTATACTCAAAGGCAGGGCAGGGGAACAAAAAATGCATATCAACTAATTAGTAATATTCAGCAATAATCAGTAGTGCCCCTACCACACATGAACCGCTGACCCTTAGGCCTAGGTCCACAAATTGCACAATTTTTGAAAAGGCACCCTTGCTTTTCAAATTATTTGATTAATACCAAGGAGCAGATTTCAAAAACAATTCATTAATTTTCAGTATATAAGTACAGCCCCCCTGTCTATGATACCCCTGACCCTGGGGCCTTGAAGTTCACAATTCTGGAAGATGGGCCCTTGCTCATCATAACTTTATAGGCACTAGTACATCATCTGCTTAATATGCAGGAGCAGAGAAGAAGATTTTCAAAGAATTCAAAGTATTTTCACCATATAATCAATAGAGCCCCGCCCTAACACCAGAACCCCTGACCCTGGGGCCATAAAATTCACAATTTTGGTAGAGGCACTCTTGCTCATTATAACTTTGTACTTAGTAAATTTATTTAACACCCAGGAGCAGAGAAGAAGATTTTCAAAGAAATAATGCATTTTCACTATATACTCGTTTTAGCACCACCCTAGCACTAGAACCCCTGACCCCAGGGCTATGAACAGCTTGAATGCTTGATGTCCAGGAGTAAAGAAGAAGATTTTTAAAGATTGCATTAATTTTAGTGGTTTTGGCCCCACTCCTCAGGCCCCAGGGGGGCAGGGATCATGAAATTCACAATTTTTGTTCCCCTTCACCCATAGATGCTTTGTGTCAAATTTGGTTGAAATTGGTTTAGTGATTGCAGAGAAGAAGCTGAAAATGTTCAAATGTTAACGCACAACGCACGACGACGGACGAAAACAGATAGCAATAGGTCATCTGAGTTTACTCAGGTGACCTACAAATTGAAATGTTGATACCTTTATTTATTTACTTCAATAATTCTCAAAATTACAGCTATGTAAAATAGTTATATACTAAAAGTTAGATAGAATTTGAATCTTCCTTTGTTGTAATGCTGAATTTAGTATCAGACAATTTACACCATAAAAGTTCTAAAGCACGGTTCTTGACAGGAAATCAAGGAGAAAGTAAATTTTAGGCAAGACCATTCAAAAAGCCAAGATTTTGATGTGCAACCAAATAAAAGACCAAGAGAGAGAATAGACGCACTTTGGTGCCCATCCAGGTCAGCAGGGTCAGATTCTTACAGCACACTGTCGAATGTTGTATAGGCTAGACAATTTCAATTGTTGCCTTTCTACCAGATAAGATCACCTGCCAGACATGAAAGAGAAACGTCAAATTCCACCTTCCCTCTCCATTGACGAAACATTATTTAAAATTACGATTATAACAATTATTGGCATTGTTCAAGCAGAAAGGCCATGACATGTGTTTTCTTCTTCTGATGTAGAAGTTTTTGAATAAATTCTGCTTCATACGAATGTAAAAACAGGTCGGCAAATAAGGGAGCACAATTATCTCGCATTGGAATTCCAACAGTTTGTAGTTTCCGGATACGAGGTTGATTTTATAGTATAGAGGGGATACTTATCTTTTCATTATTTACAGAATTACACGGGGGCGCCTATGGTTTTCACGATGGCACCAGGGTTAATGCAGTTAGAAATTGTTCCCTTCAGAGTGGCAGCATATAACACTAAACTAAAACAGATGGATTTCTTTAACCCTGAACGTAAGGAGGACTATGATTTTATATCGGGAACTCGTATGAGAAAGCTTGCCAGGGAAGGCCAGGACCCTCCCGATGGATTCATGGCGCCTAAGGCCTGGAAAGTCCTGGCCGAGTATTACCAGTCTGTTAAAGAATAACAGGAAGTGACATCATCCCACAACAGGAAGTAGGGGACCTCCTCCATCTATAAACCACAATGTGTAATTTTAGTCGTCTCTTCCTGCAGGGACCAATGTCTTTATAAATAATTTCTTTTTTGTAGAATATATTTTATATATTTGTTTATATTTTTGAGCAAATTGTATAAATTGACATTATTTTTCTTCTACCATGATACATATTCTTATGAAAAATATTAATTTAAAAAAATCACTTTTATATAAAACTTTTTCCCTCCACTAAAGGTTGAAATTACTGTTATTCAGTGGTTGTTAATTATAAGCAAATATTATTTAATTTCATTGATAAATTTATTTTTTATGTATTTACATATTTAACATGTTTAATGACATTTCATGTGGCTATTGTATGCACAAGGTGGATTTGGATTGGGTTGATTAAAAAACTTTTTTTGTATGTGGGAATTTATAGGTTTTATTTTTTATAGACTTGCTAATATTTTTCAGTATGGGTAACATCGTACATACGTAGGTCGTAAATTGTATAATTTATAGATGTTTTGCCTTTATGTCTGATATATCTTACCTGAGTATTACATGTATTATGATTATACTGTATACCTGACCAATGTCTGTGTTTTGTTTTAAATACAGTATTTGACCTTGTTTACCAGGTAAATCTTATTGTTTACTACACCGGATCTACCGCTCCTGTTTACCTGTATACTCCTGCGGGGGAGAGACAAGTGTTACAAACAAATATAAAGATAATATTAACCAGAGGGATCAATAAAGTACTTAAATTAAATGTTGTCTTGTCTTTTGATTAGTTGCAAAGATTAAAATAGAAAAATGTATTCTTTTCTTTTTAGTATAGTTGAATACAATGAATCATTACAGAAAATGTCTATTTTGTCATTTGTTTGAAGAGGTCTTACATATATAAACAGAAGTATTTCTTAACAAAAACAAATGGCATATTGGACTAAACACCATGACTAAGTATGTATAAAAGTTGTGCCAGGGGAAGAATCAAACCCCCACCACTCAATTTGTAAGCATCTAAACACTAGGTTCCAGTGACCTGCCAACAGGGGTAAAACAGTAGTGTAACAATGGTAGATATGGAACTTTATTTTAAGAATGGAGTTGGTGCAATCTTTTGAACTTTCTCTTTCTATAAATTTTGTCTTTTACTAGGCCCAAAATTGGAATAAAATAACCACATCTCATCTTATAGATTATAAATGGTAACATGTGAAAATAAACACATTATTATATTTCATTTATTCTACCCATTCTGAGATTCCATTGACAAATGTCCTGTATTCTCATATGTATAGCTGTTTGTATTTTGTTGATTGGTTCTTGTTTGAGAGATTGTTGGAATGAGTATAGAGCAGACTGGAGATTCCATTGACAAATGTCCTGTATTCTCATATGTATAGCTGTTTGTATTTTGTTGTGTGGTTCTTGTCTGAGAGATTGTTGGTATGAGTATAGAGCAGACTGGAGATTCCATTTTGACAGATCCCCAGAATCTGCCTTATTATATATTATTCATATAAATAAGTTTGCAAACAACAATTAACTGAAATAAAGTCTGTACAACAATATAATAATTCTGGTAATTATAGCTGTGTTTATATTACTGTAGTGTTCTTGTCTGAGAGATTGTCTGTATGAGTATAGAGCAGCCTGGAGGTTCCCTGTCACCTGTTGACAGATCCCCAGAATCTGCTATGATATGTCCCTGCAACGTATATCTAGAATATAGCTGTGATCATAGTGAACTAGGGTCTGTAGTTCATGAAGAGCTATTTGAACTCTTTCTGTGTCTACATGTCTGTAGCACAAGATCTCTAGCATGTGTAACAGTATAAAGTGTGGGATAGCTAAAAACTGCAATTTCTTCTGTAGACTAGACCATTGTTCTGGTATCAACTCACTGATGTAATGGATTTTACTATAGGTTGATATCCCATGCAAAAGCATGCCTCATCTTTGTGGGCCAGGACTGTCCCCCTATAGCATCTGTATACATCTCTACATCTAAATTCCTACACATCACATATGGCTGTGCTAATTTGACCATCATTATCTTAATAACAGATAAAGCTTCCATGTATCTAAGTGTTTTGTAATAATACATGGCTGTGTACATCATATCACTAATAAAACCAAACTTGGAAGCTAGTTTCAGCATGTAAATGGAGATTTTTTCAGCATTATACCTCAATTTGTTTTTCTGTGTACAAGTTTTGATGTGTAATTTGAAAGCAAGATTCTGAAGGACAGAAGCTGTAAGTTTCTATAACATAAGAATGCTGTACTGTGTGGAGAAGGGTGACCCTATATACGCGCCTATCATCTGTTCTATTGAATGTAGACAGGTGATGAATTTTTGTAGATTTAATGAGTGGAGTGTGTCCCTGTCATGTATTTCTTTAAATAAGTATACATCAAATTCAGCTTCAGAAATCAGACTTTGTTCATCTGTACAAATGATGTCTCGGGTTTTGAAGGACTTCTTCTATATCTGACTTAATGGAGGGACTGTGTAGCAGGAATGCTAAACCCTTCTCATACAATCTATACAGTCTAATAAATAGTTGATGTTGTTTGTCGCCATGAATTTTACTCAGAAACATGTTGTTTTTTGGAATGAAAAAGTTAGGACAGACCCCCTCATACACCCATTTGAGGATGAGTTTAAAACAAACCCAGAAACACTCCAGGAGATTTTGTGGAGACCAGTGAGGTATCATATTTTGTTGAATCACCCAGTCACCTACTCCATTGTTAATTATTTCTGTTAAGAACAATTTAAGTAAGCCATAGGTTAAGAATTGACAGTGATTCATTGCATACACTAGTTTTTGTTCTGCCAGAGAGAAAGAAATTCTCCATTCATGGTCTTCATGACTTCCTAGCTTATGTCCAATTGCTACAAAGTGACATCCATTTTTTACTATATCATTAACAACATGAGGCTCGGGCCATGAGTGACATCTGTCTATCCAAGAGGAGGCAGATGGAGGCCAAAAGTCACTGACAAAACAATTGCCACAATCATATTCTGTTGTTCCAAACATTCCACTGGCACAGGGTCCATGTTGGGATGCGTTAAGTGGAAATGCAGAACACATGATTTGTCTGTATTGAGAACTAGAAATATAATATTTATTATTCATTTTAACACTTGGTGACAGTAGATATAACAAAGTAAACCCTGGTGGACTATCTGAACGGTCACAGAGGATCAGTGTCTGTCTGTTTGTGTTGTAATACTGAGACTGTGATAATTCCCAGATCACACGGTGATTATTTGGCCATATCATAATGTCCATATCTGATTCTTTCAGTCTAAATCCTTCTCTGCGACTTCCACTCAACATCATACTGTACTCTCCGCTTATTATTTGATTTTGTATCATTCCACTGACGTCCATCAGATCTCTCCTCATGGCCACCTGTTGTGAGGTCCCCACTTTACGACACAATGACTTTGATATATTCTGAATGGCTGTCATACTGGAAATGTCGAAAGGCAAATTCAATATATATTTAATACAGTATGTCACTTTAGTAATTAAATTAAAATTATTATAGATAAATCTATTTATATTTTCTCTAATATGCAGTGTAATTTCATCTTATTAATAAAAAGAATTATTTACATCAACCATTTGTTTTCAACTTAATATCATTCAAATTTCGAAGAATAAAAAAATGAAGATTAAACAAATGAAAACTGAACAAAGTTGTCAAGTAATATGTCCATGTATCTCATTTCACGCTAAAATATCTAGAATTTCTCCGTTTGCCTGATCATGACAAGAAGTACAAGGTCAGAGGGGATGCTCATTCTTCCATGGTACCTGATCCCACCTCTGATATTTTTAGAGGCCCCTGTTTATGTAATTTTCAAAAGTACTTTTGAGCTTCGTTATCTCCTTAAAGTTAAATGCAATCATTCAAATTACGAGAGTTGTTACAAGAGTTGTTATTTTTAACACTGTATCGTGCATTCCGATACATGATACAGGGGTAATTTTAAAACAAAACAATAGACCACCATATTTGTTTCATTTCTATATATATAACAAACACAACTGTAACAAAATACATGTATATATATTTAAGAATACTTAAAAATGACAAAACAGCATTTTCAAAAGCATTTTGAAAGTCTTCTTAAGATAGAAATTATAAACAAAATCGAAAACTTACATTTCTGAAGTTCTAATGAAATCCATTTTGAGCAAACTTAAGGTAGAGAGAGTATCAAATTAATGCACCAGTTGCATCAAATTAAAGTATAAACAAAAATCAATTTATACAGGGAAATGTTCGTCAATGGATTGATGTAGGAAGTATAGCTACATTATTGTTTGAGTGTTTTAATTTTTTAGATTTTGTTTGAAGTGTCTTTTGCCATTATGTACGAGTTTATCGTCGTAGTTTAATGACATTTGAAGATAACGAATTTATAAATATCAAATTGAAACCATTTAAAACCATACAAAGGAGAGGTTTCCACAAGGCTGTTTTTTGGCCCATGTTTTTTGCGAAAAATGAAATTAGATTGCCAACAATTTCAAACTTACTTTCATTATTTTCAACATGTCTAATTTTGTGCTGTGTTTTTATTTTGCGAGAAAAAAGTTAGGATAATATTGGAATAAACGATCAAAGTATGGTACCCTTAACCGCTTTAACATTGAGTATATGGGAAAATGTTGGAGGGTTATGATGTTTAACCTTCTAGTACACCATGTGTTGCATCCTGAACCAAAACCATAATTTGATAATTAATTACTTATATGTACAGAAACATTATACTGAAATATGGTTGTGGTTCGCAATGCAACACACACTTAAATACCTATGACTTTGCAAATTTTGCAATCTGTTGAGTTGTGGTTAATTTTATTCAAACACTTAAAGTGAATCATACACATTTATAACATTGTCCAGTCAATCAAACATATTACTAGTAATTTCACCCTAGCTCTGAAGGAGAGGGGTATACTTTTTTTACCCTTGTGTTTCTGTCTAGCTGTCTGTGTGTCTGTCTGTAACAAATTTTCTTCGCATATTTTCGGCAACTACTAATAGTAGATGATTGGGGCTTTTTTTGCACGTTAAAAGGTGACATTTATTTTTGTATGAATACAACGTCAACTTTCTGTTTATCTGTGTGTCTGTATGTACCAATTTCCATCACGGTTTTCTCAGCAAATACTCATTGCAGATTCTTGAAATTTTAGTACACTCTTCGTTTAGGCATGCCATGTTATTGTGAGATTGATTCATGAAAGTCTATCAGGGTGCGGGTTTTACTATTTAGTACTGGCTTGTCCTTTTATACCTGTATTAAAATCATACGATGATATCAAACATGAAAGAAAAATAATTGATTAAATTAACATGCCTGTGTGTCTGTTTTTGAGGAAAACCAAAAACTTTGACACTAGAGATGGTAGTTTCAATATATAAAGACCAAGGTCAGAATTATTGTTTCACAGTAAATAATATTAATTATTTAATGTAAATCAAGGTCAAAGTTTCTTGATTTGGGTATATTGCCGTTTCACAGATTTAACATACTTTTTTCTGTTTACAAAAACTCAGTGCCTTTAGTAACCAGCTACTTTAAACTTATTTAACTTAACTTAATGTGAATTTGAATTTTACAAGATATTGATGATGCAGTTTGTGCCTTGATCTGTCCTAAATCTATTGCCCATATAACCAGTGGTCTTATCATTATACCCGCCACAAACAAAGTTTAGAGGTATGTATAGGAATCACCTCGTCCATCTGTCTGTGCAAACGTGCCCTGTTCATATCTTTTTTTACGGAGGAACATAGGAATTAATACTTTACACTTTGATCCAAGGTCATTTGTGCAAGTTCAAAGGGACACATGTACATGAGATTACAAAAACATTTTTTTTTAAATTAAGATACGTTTCAAACGAAAATGGGTACAGACATGAAATCAAAGGATATATTTTAAGAATTCAAATTAATGTATATAAAATGAATTTTGATAAAAGACACATCTCAGATCTTGCATCCAATATCTATAAATAAAATAAAAAAGTACATATAAATTATGTTTAATGCCTGTGTACAGTGTACACTTACAGAATCCGTTCTTTTTTATCGCAAAAAAATATTTTTAGTATTGCAATACAATTTATTGATAAGGCCACACCAATCTAATTTCTTGTTCGTCGGACATTTGATGAAAAAAGTACGAGCGGTCAAGCGGTTAATTAATAATATTATTACTATGTTGTACGCAAACTTTTCAGGCGGGACGTGAAAAAAAAATGAGCGGACATTTATATTTCTTCTGATTTGAAGAATAAATCGATTAAAAGTACGATAAATGTACGGGTCGCAGTCACAGTTATATTTTAAATTATTTGTCTCAAAATATGATATATCTTAATCTTGAAAACTTTTGTTAACTTTTTTTTTTTATAACTGATTGCTTTTCATTAACTTTTTTATGTTATTATAGGTAGCAAAGATATCTAATAAGAAAGCGTACACAATTTCCATTGAATTTTTATGGCTACAATTACAAAAGTTCTTTTTCCAAAAAATATTAAATTAGTTAACTTTTTGTGTTACTTCAGCCCTGTTCTGTGTTCCCTGATGATATATAGTTAATCTTTCATTGGTTTTTCACAGTGAATAGTCTTCTACAAGTAATAAATCTTCATAACCCTCTTAGTTGCTTTTAGAGGGACCCTTTAGATATCCCTTGGTCACGTGACTAGTATAGGTTGGTTTTGCAAATAAATTATAAAATATGACAGAGGAAACATTACTAAACATAACTAATGGAATTAATTTGAATTTTATCATGGGCCAAAAAATAGCCTTATCGAAACCCTACCTTTGAAACTGGGTAGACAAGGATCACTAAACCATAACATATGGGATCACGTGCCGTGGAGGAGAAAGCTTCCCTACCAGACAATCACATCCGCCGTATGTATGTTGCCAGGATCGGAGGAATGGGAATTTAGTATAAAACAATGCATGGCGTTCAAGTTTGAAGAACAGTTTGTAGTCTCCGGAGACGAGGTTTATTTTATAGTAAAGAGGGGTCGACACCTATACGTATATACTTATCTTTTCGTTATTTACAGAATTATATGGGTAGCACCTAAGGTTTTGACGATGGCACCAGGGTTAACGCAGTTATATAGAAATTGTTCCCTCCAGAGTGGCAGCATATCACACTAAACAAAAACAGATGGATTTCTTTAACCCAGAACGTAAGGAGGATTATGATTTTATAGCTGCAGAACTGTAGCTCCCGAAAAATAATATTGACAGACAGGAGAGCTACAGTGCCACCCATTGAAAACAATCAATAAATATACATTGTTTTCAATGGGTGGCACTGTAGCTCTCCTGTCTGTCACAAAAAAGTGCACTGTTTCTCAATTTAATTCTCCATGTTTTAAAAATTGTCATCTCAAAATGTTACTAACAGGGTGTTCATAACATATTATTTCACTGATTCCACAACAAAAAATACCTTATAATTGTTTTAATAGCCCTACTGGTCCTGAAATTGAGATCATCGAAAATTTCGCCTATTTTTGCTGCCATTTTGGTTTGCAAGATAATACTTCTTGCGGATGTCAACAACGGGAGTACTTGATGGAGGAGTAAGGAATTTTTTGAAATCTAGTTTTTTTTTTTTTTTTTTTTTTTGCAATTGTGGTAAGAATTTTGAAGAATTAATCCAGAACCGTGCGCGCTTTTTTGTGCGCAATAAATATACAGTTTTTTCAATGGGTGGCATTGTAGCTCTCCGGTCTGTCAATATTATTTATTCGGAGAGCTACAGTTCTGCAGCTAATGATTTTATATCGGGAACTCGTATGAGAAAGCTTGCCAGGGAAGGCCAGGACCCTCCCGACGGATTCATGGCTCCTAAGGCCTGGAAAGTCCTGGCCGAGTATTAGCAGTTTCAGCTAGCATTCCAAGCAAATTGGTAAAAGATGTGAATATTAGGTTAATAAAGTGCAATTTCTCAGTAAAACTCAATCTTGAAACAAAGATTCCAACATGTACAACAGTGGCTGTCATAACCTTGGTCCAAGGTCACACAAGCAAGTTTAAGGTCACTGGCAACAAAAGTGTAAAATTTATATCACATCCATAATCTCCTAACAAAGATGAATTCATATCCATATTTCAACCTTGACATTAGACCAGAGGATGAATTTTTTTTTTACCAAGGAAAGGCGCAGCTATTATACACTTTTATGTATAAACTGGCTCACAGTATATCTATTAATTATTATTCGAGTTTTCTTGAAAAGGATTAAAAGGAGAGGGATAGATGATGTTCGAAGAGATGAGGGATTTTTGTGAGGTAAACTGTGTTTTATTATTTATTCAAAGTTATTAATAATTTTTTCGACCTGTTTGTTTATTGATTGAAATAGGTTTTATGTGATTTTTTTGTTGTTGAAAATTACCTTTTGGCAAT